GGAACGTATTTGGCCCCTGCAGATATATATTTGATTCCTACTAGCCCAGGAAGATATTTTAATGATGGATTTGACCACAGACAGCATAAGCACATTGCCAATGTTTACTCAAAGTATCTGCTTTAAAGAAATGGATATAAATTTCACCTCCTCTACCTATTACTTCTCACTAAAATGTAATGGTAGAAAGTAAATTACAATTCAGCTGAAACCACAATTTTCAAAGTGCTGTCATTCCAGGGCAACACTGGGCATCCCTATTCTCTCTCTACTACCCTAAGAGTTACACACAGTGTATCTTCCCAATTATCCAGAAAACTGAAACAGTACAATCATCTTTTATCAGGTTTTCCAAACAAGTCTGAAAGGCATTCATTTTTCATGTAACTAAAACATGCCTTTTTGAAAGGACTGTCAAAGCAGACACAAATCATGCAGTGGGTACCACTGCCTGACAACCTGGCTGCATGAGAGACCATATTTCACATTACTGCTAAAGAGCATCAAAAATTAAAAAGATAAAATAACAACACTGTTGCTTAGAGGGGAAAAAAAATCTTCTCTGAAATTTAACAAAATACAAAATTAGAGGGAAGGATAAAAAAAGGAAAAGAAAATCTGCAACTGAATAAGTGAAGAATAATATATAATCAGCTTGGTTTTAACTTCTTTTGAAAGGAATTAGGCAAGGCTGCAAGAGTCAAAAAAAGGATTACTAGTCTTCTGATGTAACAATTATATTTCTACAATTTGAAACTCTGAGAGAAAAAAAAGCTCCTAAAATTTGGAATATGCTTACTGCAGCTAACAAATACAGACTATGTATGCACCAAAATCTTTCCAGACACCAATCTGCATCTGTACTAAAGTCCCAGGTTAGTATCTGTACTAATCAGTGAGGTACAGAATGGCATTAAAGCCATAACTCTCCCACTTACCACTCTGTTTCACACCAGTAAGCACCCAGCCAGTCACTGTGACTCCAAGAAGCTTCTCATGTATTTGAACTCGTGTAAGAATCTTGTTCAGGTTAAGTACAATTGCACGGTATGAGTTAAACAGCTTCAGCACAGACAGAATATGGAAAAGACTCACTACATAGGCTTATTCATGTGTTTAACAGAAAAAATCTGACTTGATCTTAAGAATCTGAAGAACCGTCAAAGGATCTGTAGCATTTAGAATCATAGAATAAAATCCCAGAACAATTTCGAGTTGGAAGGGACCTTTAAAGGCCATCTAGTCCAACTCCCCTGCAATGAGCATGGACACCTTCAACTAGATCAGTTTGCTCAGAGCTCCATCCAACATCCCTTGAATGCTTCCAGGGATGGGGCCTCCATTTCTCTGGGCAACCTGTTCCAGTGTTTCACCATCCTCATCGTAAAAGCCTTCTTCCTTAGACTTAGTCTGAATCTACCCTCTTTTAGTTTAAAATCATTACCTCTTGTCATATCATTTTTCTAGGATCTTCATCTAGAAATCTCCCCTAAATTTCAGGAAAATATTTCTGACATGAAAAACAGTTGGCAAATTACTGTGTCTGCTTTATGACATAAGACCTGTAGCTCTAAAAACAATTTAACAGCAAATAATATTTTTAAATAAAAATCTAAATCAGAATTGTGACAGCAGCTAAAGTACAAATGCACAAACCACTTTTAAATTGGCCAGCTCAGAGGGCTACACGTTGCCATCACTATTCTGAACCGCAGGGCAGTCATATCCAAAGAAATTAATGAAATTAAGTACCAGCTCAACTTTAAATCTGATAAATTAAAAATTATGCACCTGAACTTCACTATATTTTTTTCAAGCACTAGAAGCACATGAGTGATTTTCTGTGTTTACACAGGAACATCATACAGCAGCAGAACATTGTCTGCTCAGGGACACATGTCTGAGAAACATCTTTTTCCACACTGCTCCTTGAAAGCTGACCTTTTAGCCCAGTAAAGCTGAAGCTAAGTTGCTTTAAAGCATAACATACAGTTGCCTGGGCCATGCTTCCTTTTCCATGCTTCTTCATAAGAACTTGAAATGGAAGTGAGGATTCCTCATGTCATTGCTCTGTGCCAGCAGCTGATTCATTAATATTAGAATTCAGATAGGAAGGACTAAAATTAGGACTATGCAAACAGAATACACTGTTCAAAATGTTCAGATTGTTTTAGTACCTGGGCACTTTGGAGAGCAACTGACTGATCTATCACTATGGCAACACAAAGACTCCTCAATAACTTCGAACTGTTAAGACAGCATGAGACTTTTAAATCTTGTATTTCTACAAAATATAACAAAGTTAATGCAACATCCTAGACAAAGTTTAGGGTCCAGAAGGCAAAGTCAGGTAGAACTCACATTTCTTATTTTTCACCGCGACCTCACACTGACCATGTATGTCTCTGCCTCAAGAGTCTGTTTTGGAGTGGAAGGACGAAAGCTACCAAGGGGTGCCTTTCCTCTTGCCAAATGCATTCCTGTTGAATAACTGAGGTATGGATTCTGCACAGTGCACAAGCACACAAGAGTTAGCAATTACCTACATATCACTAAGAAATTGCTCCCTGATGAAATGGTTTCAGCTTCCAAGAAAAAATACAGGGCAAAAAAAATTAGCCTTTTATTCCTGCAATCCTGTAACATCTAATCATTGACACTTCAAAGAATTGTTAAGCTTTGCTGCTACCACTTCTGGCACCATTTACTGCTTACAAAAAAAATACATTCAACAAATACAGTACATTATTTAAAACCACTGAACAGTTTCTTTCTAAAACAAAATAACATCATTAATCAAATATTATACAAGTCTCATTAAAGGCTTTTTTTTTTCTCTCTGCCCAGGCTTCACAGCTTCTTGTTTCCTGAAGGTCTTGGATATAATTTTACTGTGGCTTACAATACAATTACTTTTGTTTATTTATAACTGTTTAACATTTTATTATCATTAATATGCATTTCATCTAGCTTGGATTACACACTTTCTTACGTAGCTTTAGAAAGCATTAGTTATTCTAAACATGCTCAGTCCTTCTAGGACCTGAAAGAAGCAACTTCAAGACCTCAATGGTGGCCACTGCTCAGCCCTCTGTCATATGCACAGTTTTTGGACATGCAAGTCAAAATCATACAGGTGCACAAAGAGAAGCATAAAAATCAAAGCATTGGTGCTGTTTCCAACTATGATTATCAATAACTTTAATCCACACAAGCAGATCAGGTCATACATGGACTTTGCATTCAAGTCAATGGAATTCAAACATGCCAAGGGCATGTTTGCACTGGGGACAGATGACACTGGGTTATTTAGAAACAGGAACTGGGACCTGTTTTGCTGGATATGGAGAAAATTATCTACATGTAGAAATCACTGGATGAAATGAGAGATGTGAACAGTATGCTGATGTTTCATAGTGCTTGAGGTTTTTTTGAAGCCTTCCTACAATTACTTTGAAAGTTTCTACATTACTGAATTCCAGTTGCAATTTTTTTCCAGCAAGACAGTTCTGTTTAACTTCCAATATACTTGTCAGAAACATTCATACACTGATGCAGTTTCATATGGAGAAGTTCAAATACATTTAATATGTTTAAGCACAAGTTTGTTTCTGATTAAGCAGATTAATGTACTTGCTATTACCAATAAAGCGAAGGAAAAAAGAAGTCTAGGAGGTGTCATCATGCTAAACAGGTACCAGAGTTTCCTACTTTGAATTCATAAGGGATTATGAAGCGCTGAATCTTATGACAGTAGATGAAAAACCCAATCAAACAACACTGCAGGTTTGCCTTTCAGTGAAGAGAAGGCAAAAATGTTCTACAACGCTTGAACTAACCACAAAAATTACTCTGGATTTCAGCACCGTATTTCACAGCTCATTGACTTTCCAATTCCTTGGTATTCAGAGAGCCACACAACTGAACCACTAAAACAATTAGATGCTAACACTATTTCAAACATTAAGTCATTGCAACAATACCTAGATGATAAGTAACATACTGTGTTAAATTTTAGTATACGTAGAGTAGATGAAATGGGTTTATCAACAGATTGAAAAAGATGCCACGGTCAAATACAGACTTAAGTCACAGATCTGTAACAAGATCACATCCCATCTTATTTAATCCACCAGTGGTGTTTTGGATGTGTGGGTTTCTTGGTGGGTTTTTTTTGGGGGAAGGTAATAAGAGGATTGTTTCATTTTCTTACAGTAATACACATGCAAGCGAGGACTTCACAGACAAGTTCAAAGCTAAATTTGTATACACCAAGAGAAGCAGAAAACTAAACATAAATGTCATATTATCCACTGTCATGTTTTTAAATACCTTCCACACTTTAAAATGCACAGACTCCAAGTTTGTGTCATGATAAGGCCTTACCACTGTATTTGCCTCCTTTTCACGAGAAGAAAATTATTTTTATTCTCCAAGGACTCAATCATTAAGAAACAACTATCCTGCCTGGTATTGCAAGGCAAATATTACTGTGCACACTGTGGTTATGATTCTCATCTAATGCAAGATATCAAAATACAGTCTAATTACTTAAAAAGAATTTCTTTGGAAGCCCATTACCACTTTTTTGAAGATGCAATCATATCTTGTATCACAGAGGTAAAATAGTCATTGAAAAATACTGAAATATCTCAGATGAGTTGAGCATTTAAGAATTATGTTCTTTACAAAAATCAACTACCTGCAAGAGTGAAAGGACTATTTAAACAAAAAGGATCATCTTATTACATCTGCTAAAAAGTCAGTTTCTCAGAGTACAAATGACCATTCCCTCTATATATGTAATTACCAAAAGCCTTGGGAAAAAATATAGGCTAATGAACAAAAGCAGCAGCCTAGCCTCAGGTCAGTTTCTACTTTTGGAAACACCTATGTAATCCCTGATGAAAGAGAAGGGAGGTATATATGCATATCCACGTGAAGGAAACTGGCCTGGTATTTAAATTGCACTTGTAAAAGATGTTATTTGAATAACTCACTGTTTGGACACATCCGGCATTATCGTCTGTTCTTTTTTCCTTGTATCCACCGTTGGCTCTACAGGCGTAAGTACTACAGCAGCGCATGAGACTATTGACTGGTACGAGTCTTCCCGGCAAACTGCAAAGATAAAAAGAATCTCAGTGTTGAAGAGTGAACTCGGTTTGCACTTTAAAGGGGAAAAAAAAAATAAATCAATTCATACTGTGATAAATACAAATGCAAATAATTAATCAGACTTCACTGAGGTCACCTGCAATGAAAATGCCATTGTTTTCCACATTTCCTGAATGTGCTTGCTTGACACCTTTTTTTTGACATTGACTGATCATGCACTAAGTCTTATCTAGCACAAGATCTGATGTCAGTCTACTCATTGGTGTACCTGAGTCGTAAAAGGACTTATATTTCATAAATGACATCAGAATATGATGCACTTCTTTGTCCTTTTTCATCATAGACTGAAAAAGAGAGTGGAAATAATGGATGGTTTGCAGACAAACCTCCAACATTCAAAAATTTCAGACTTCGTTACAAAATAGATTCGAGAAAATCTGATTAGTGATTTATTTTTGTCTCTGTTATTACTCACTTTACTCCAAAAAGGCCAAATCCAAGTGGTCTAGAAGTGTTATCTGATGTTTTCTTTTAATAAAAATAATCTATGTGTTGCTGTGCTGAATGCTATAACTTAGACGATATTTAGAACTTGAAGAATGATCATGTATTTCAGCTGAGCACCTGGCTCAATTAAGACTAATAAACGCATACCCAAAAGTTTATGACCTCTGAACAGACAACTATATATGTCACAGGTTATACATGTTTTAAACTCTAAACTGCGTCATTATAATTTAGGTTTTAGCAGTTACCACTCCTACTGATTTTGAAGCTATAGGTTTCCTTTACAGCCAAGGTATACCTTTCTGAGATTTATAAAAGCTAGAATTAATAGTTGCTTATATTTAACAAAGCACAGCAGCTTCTTATATTATATCTGCTACTACAAGGTATCATATAAAAACGAGAAGATATCTGGTGACCTATCTTTAAACAGAGAGTCACCTGGTAATTTATAACATGCAGAACTATTTTACAGAGGGCACACATGCACATACACATCCAATAAAATAGCCTGTAAAACAAGAATAGTGACAAATTCTTAGCAATTCACCAGAAAGAACGTATTTTACAAGTACATAAATTTATGCAAGATTGGTATAGCTGGGATTATTGAGCTATGGCATTTAATTATCAGTGGAAAACTTAGTTCTGAAGTCTTTCCTACCTTTCAGTCTCCACAATGATGTGCCTCCTTACTGCCCACAGACAACATACCGTTTGCATAGCCTATGCTCCCCTTACAAAAGAAGCAAAACTGGAGTAAAACTTCATCCATATTGCCCTGACTGGGTCAAGATCCACTGTGGTGTTTTACTCTGAGCACTCGAATTACATCTTCACCATGAACTCAGCACACATCAAGAAGACATGCTCCGTGCCCAACAAACACCCTGAAACAGCAAATGGTGCTTCAAGGCAGCTAAAAAGTAGATTTTAAGGAACAGGTCAGATTGGGGCTGGATAATTCTACAAAGGTCAAAAAAAATGCAAAGATCTTTTCTGCTTTCCAAGCAATTCTGAACCATTTAGCAAGCAGCACAAGGTCAGCAGGAATACAGGCAGCTTCTGTCAGGAAGAAAAGCTTTCTGACAGTGTATGTAATTACATTTAATTCATCTGATGTTCTCCAGCATTGTTTATGCTTGTATTTTTAAATATTAATGTGCACACTGTGCTAAGCGACTAAGACATGTAAGATGACCGGTATTGAAACCTTAACTCCATTTTTTACCTTTGGAACCAGCGCAACTCGAAACTTTGTCACTGTCATAGACACACATCTCCAAAACATGGTCATACACAAAGAGAACTTGCTATATCGCCTACAGGTATGCAAGAAGCCTATACATTAGAGCTTCAGGCATAACAAATTAAGATAGAACTAATGCAAAATATTATGAACCTGAGAAACATCATAAGAAAGAATGGAATTTCAGGTGATTTTCATCCTACTATGTTATGTGCAACCAGCAGACCACCTACTAGCAAGGTGCTATTTGCTAGGCACCAAGCAATGTAAAAAACACTATCTTCTCATTACAACCAAGGACTGAATATGTGCAAATAAAAATATTTATGTCTATTTGTCTCTTTATTTACAGTCAAAGAATTGCAAAAAGATAGGCTTGTCAGAGGGCGATACTGACATTCAGGACCTGAATTTTAATTAGAAACACTGATAAAAAAAGGGAGTATAAAGGATGAAGCAAATACATATTTTTCTTTAGAAGACCCATGATACTGCTTGAATATCAAACTATTACTTTAGAACTTGTAAAAAGTTTCATGACAAGCATCAAAGTGTAGGGTTTGCCCTAGATCAGCCACTGTCCATCAAAGCAGTTACAAAGAAAGACAAAATAGGGAATCAAAAGTAATAAAGATGACACAGTTAGTCTTTACAGAAATTTCACAAATGAATAAAACTGTGACATTGCTTTTGTTTAATAATTAATGCTACATAGGAGTTGTATAATCTCCTAATTTACAGCTGAAGACAAACCCAGTGGTCATCCAGTGATTGGAGCTAATGGAATTTATTATCCTCCAATTCTAGACAGAAGCACTATTTGGTCTCGCTTTTGAAAACCACTACAATTCCTCCTTTTTATCTCAAGTCTCTGTGTACACAGTCTCAGTCATTATGGAACAGTATAATTAACAAAAATGTTATGAAATAGCGATGGCACAGCAGCAAGTAATTTTCACCTACTGGAGTGGTGCTCTTATTATCTGTTCATAACTTGCATTAAAATTATGAGAATGTGTTTGAATGTGGACTCTCAACTTTAATATTGATGGAGATGAGCACTATTTTACTTAAGATTGCCTGCATTTTTCACTCCAAACTCAACTCTTAAACCCAGATTCCTTTTTACACTTTAATTTTTTTATCTACAAGTGGTTTCTATTACTCCTGAAAAGATCATTTATGTCTACATATTGTACTCCTCACGAATCAAAATCTCTTTGATCCTCAAAATATCACAAACCTCAGAATAACAATTACACTAAGATTACCCCTTTTAAACACAAATCCTCTCACATGTTCAACTGGTTTTTTAACATCCAGCAAGAACTTTAAAAATTTAGCCTTCCCACATGAATTGGTAAGGAAAATTAAAAAAAGGTAGAATTTTATATCATCTGAATTGGTGTCTGGCAAACCCACCAACATAATCAGCTGGCCCAGCCTATTTCATTACTCCTGATGTGAGTGTGCAAGCTAACTCCATCCTCTCTACCCTCTCGGCCCAGCCATTCAGTTTTCAATACATCTCAATTCTCTGCTCACCCAGCTCAATCATCAACAGCTTGTCTATCAGGATTTTATGAGAGTGTTGAAAACCTTACTAAAGCCATGGTACACAACAAAGAAACCGATAAAGAAAATCTGCTCATCTATCTGCTACATTTTTACAATGGCACACAAACATGAAGTACATGTTGTAGGTAGAGGTTAATTATCACACCTGGTGTTGCATACCCCCAGAATGGTGGAAAAAACTGTACAAGGTAACAACAACAACAAGGGAAACAATCAGCTGATTTTACACTACTTGTAGAAGGTTCTTTAAGAAACTAACATTTAGTATCTGAGAAGGTGTTATACACTGAATAACTTCTGAAATAAATTTCTATGTAAGTGAGATTGCATTTTTCAGTCCTTTATTCACAATTCAACTACTACATGAACAAGCTAATAATTGTAGTGAAATAACACAACTGGAGGAACATCTTTACTTGTGTTATCATTAAAGAAACATTTTTCTTAGTGAAATAAAAGACACTACTTACCAATTACAAGTCAGGTAAAGGACAACTCTACAGAAAGGGAAAACACTCTAACTTCATAGAATGCTATTATAAAAGATCCATACCACTTTTGAAGTTGCACAAGTTCTCCCCAGATTCTTCAATTTAATGAAGCATACAGCTTGTTTTCTTCCATTGCCAAGTGTTTTAAAAGTACCCCATATATTTATCACTAGGAGTACTGGCTTGGATTTACCCTAGCTGGTTTAAGCAGTCCCACAACATCATTCACTATCAAAACAGATTTCTACATCTGGAAAAGAAAAACATTAGCTGCCGTTTTTTTTCCCTCTGCTGTTTCTCTTGAGAACAATGAGAATGACTAATTAGACAGTTTTCTTCTACTTTGAACCAACCAGTGAAAAAATGTTAATTCCCTAAATAGTAGGACAGTAGGAAGCCTTCAACAGCTACTGAATAGAATGTATCTCTCCAGAGAATAAAAGGATTTTCAAGTTCTAGGGGTGTCATTTACATCATGTATTTCAAACACTTAATTTTACACACTTTTTCCCTTTATTCTTTTTTTTTTTTTTTTTTGTAATTGAGGAGAAAGAAAATCTGGTTATCACTGTTTGCTATCAAAAAAAAAGTCTCCCTTGACACAAGATGCAAGTGATGGTTAGATGAAATTAACAGCAAGTACTACCTGCTTAGAGAAAACAGAAGGGAAATGTTCATATGCAGTGTGCAATGAAGCATAAGGGAATCATGACAGAGGGAGACAAAACCAGTGAGGTATTTCTGGATTTAAAAAAGCTGGGCACTTATTCTGACAATTCAAGTATTTGCATTTATGCCTATGAAGTTTAAAATAATCAGTTCTCATCATTCAACAGACAGATCAAGTCTGGAAACAGCCACTGTTTTTATCAAAAAATCTTCTGCTTTGGTAAAAACCCAGGCAACCAGTCAGGAGAATGAAAGGTGCTAAATACTTCACTCTGAAATATCTGTCAGCTGCCACTGTAGGAGACAGGGGACTGAAGTGTGGGGGAGCAATGTCTGGATCTTAATATCCAATCCCACATTCCTTTTACTACAAAAGGTCAGAAGAGATGTTTTAATAACTCTGGAACACTAATTCTCAGTACACGCATCTACATCTTAGCACATTGTTTCCAACATGTGTCTCTGTCATGAAGAGGCTCAGGAAATGAGCCACACTGAGGTGGTCTGAG